ACCGGAAATATATTTAGTAAGTATATAGTAATATTTAATTAAAAAAACTACAATTCTTAAAAGTAAAACCATGAGAAACAAAATACCAGGTTGTTTTTGTTCCTAGTTTTCTTAGCCATTTTTAATCCAAATAGCCCGTGTGCTCTTTTGAATTTTTCAAGTTGTGAATCAATCAAAATTCTTGTCCTAGTATCATTTGCAATCATCATCTCAATAGTTCTATGCAAAGCATATATGACATCATTATTCGGCTCGAACCCCTCAGCATAATGAAACATAATATATAAAATAAATTAATGACAAACAATTATTTATTAAATTCAAATTTAACAAAATAAATAAAAATATTACTTAGGATTAAGATAATATGCCGCAGCATGAAGTGGTCTATAAAGTTGTTGGTTCCAACGGAGATCAATTATTTCCCATATCTTCTTATACCTCGACTTCACATTATTGAAGTTTTGAGCTATTTGATCTTTGGCTCTATCCATTGCTTCATAAATATATGGAATTGCTGGTTTTGAGTCACCATCTACAAACCTCAATACTTTAACAATTGGATTCACACATCACAAACAATATTTGATAGAATTCCAAAATTTGGCATTGCACGAAACAAGGCCACTACTTCTTTACCATCATGCTTACGGGCATAAGAACTTGAAGTCCATTCTTCCGAAACTAACATGGACTTAAGAGCACTTTTTTGATTCAAGATGCAGCTTAAAGTAAGAAAAGAAGTTGCAAACCTTGTTACAGCCGGTCTTGCCAATTTCCTTCGTTGAGAATAGTCTCTGAATAATCCTAGAACCCATTGATGCCTATATATGTAAGTGGTGATCCTTTTGGCGTTTGTAATGGTGGAATACAAGATTGGAATTTTACCAATATCTTCAAGCACAAAGTCAAGGCAATGGGGAGCACAAGGAGACCAACATGAGCTCGTGTTCTCTTCCAACTTCTCCCCGGCAGACACAAGATTAGAAGCACCATTAGTTACAACTTGAACAACATTTTCAACCTCAATTTCTACAATCATCTTATCCAATAACTCAAACATTTTTTGAACATCATTGATCACATTACTAGTGTAGATGGAGTTTAAAAGCACCGTCCCACTTGGACTATTGACTAGAAAGTTAGTGATTGATCGAGATTTTCTGTCGGTCCAACCATCGCACATCAATGTGCCTCCCCATCTTTTCCATTCATCTGTATATTTCTCCATGGAGTTTTTGACATGTTTAACTTCATCCTTAAGGTAAGAAACTATTACCTCTTGATAAGAACGAGGCTTCAAACCTTTACCATATTTCCCAATCGACTTCAACATTTGAGTAAATAAGGGGCTTCTCACCAAGTGAAAGGTAGAGCATTACCATATATGCATCTACATATGGAACGAATCACTAACTCTCTATCTTTCAGGGCTACATTCATCGTTGCTTGTTTCAATGTAGCTCCATTTTTAGAGAAGAATGGATGTAATCCTCCTCTTTTGTTTGCCACATCTTCGACTATGTCTTCATCCAAAAAGT